ATCCTAAAGCTTTTCAGTCTCTGAAAATGACATCTGCCAACATGTTGTCATAAAGCCCTTAAACAAAGAAGGGGACAGCCCAGGACCACAGGACCCAAGATTCAGGGTCCTGCTACTTTCAGAATCCTGCAACACAAATGCTGACATACTGCTTAGAAGAAACAACACACTAGGAAAACCAAGAAGGAGGCTACAAAATATGCTAAACTCATGACAGTCAAGAGGATAAAGGAATCCAGGCAGTGGTGGCACACCGCCTTTAATCCCAGCACTTAGGAGGCAGAGGCAGGTGGATGTCTGTGAGTTTGAGGCCAGCCTGGTCTACAGGGTGAGTTCTAGGACAGCTAGGGCTACAAAGAGAGACCCTGTATTGAAAAAAAAAAAAAAACAGAGAGGGTGACTGAGAGAGAGAGAGAATATGAATGAAGGAAGGCAAAGAAAAATGCCAGGAACAGATTGCCAAGAGACACAGGCTGTCCTCACTGGGAGCTTCTACTTCTAACTCTGAGTCCAGTCAGAAATAAGTCTTTAAGAACATGCATTTAAAAAGCAGCAAATAACGAGAACTGAATGAAGGAGAGAAGGCTTTCCCACTTTTCCTGCTCAGACTGCTTTTGAAGCAAAATCTCTGTGCTTACTACAGTCTCACTTCAGTTACACCCCCCCCCCTGCTTTTCTCTGCGTCTCCTGAACCACGTTTTTTGAAATATAGCCAGTTCTGTCCAAATCTCTAGAACATTCTTTTTGTAATTTTAATCTTCTTTTGTTCATTTTTTGCTTTGTTTTGAGACAGGGTCTCTCTACACAGCTCTGGCTATCCTTGAACTCACCAGGCTGGCCTCAAATTCAGAGCTATCCCCCTGTCTCTGCCCCCCGAGACTGTCTGAAACAGTCTCCAATACTTCTTTGTCATGTCCCTTCCTGACTCAAAGTTACCATTTCCTTAGTATCTGGTCATGAAAACAGGAACATGAATAAATCCACCCACATCAAAATTAAAACAGATGGGGATACAGACATGGCTCAGTGGTTAGTGGTTCTTTCCAAGGACCCACACGGCAGCTCACAACCACTAGGGTATCCACTGTTACAGGCACCAAGAAAGCATGTGATGCAAACATACTTGAAGGCAAAAACGCTCATAAACATAAAAATAAATTTAAAAATCAAAATAAGGTTAGACAGTTCCAGCCATTCCCGTATGTATGTGTGTGTGTGTATGTGTTATATATATATACATAGAGAGATTATACTTGTATATAGAGATTATTTATGTTCATTTCTATGTATTTTAAAGTTAAATAAATGTAACTACAGTAATTTCACAGAGATGAGGGGATCCCTAGAAGTCCACTAGGGATCTGTCAAGTTGATTCAGACCATCATTTCCCAGGGATTGAGGTATGAAAGGTGGTACACACCTTTAATCCCAGCACTAAGAAGACAAAGGCAGGTAATCTCTGGGAGTTCAAGGCCAGCCTGGTGAGTTCTAGGAGCCCAGGTCTACCTAGCGAGTTCCAGGATAGCCAGAGCTACATAAGAGAGACCCTGTCTTGAAAACAAAAAACAAACAAAAAAGCAACCAAGGGTCAGTTCCCCCAAACCTGTCAGTTTTCATTGTCACCTACTTCTAGACATTGGGGGGGGGTGATTTTCTTTGTACTAAGGTTTCACTAGGTAGCCCTGGCTGATCTGAAACTCAAAAGAGCTCCAATGCCAAAATTACAGGCTTGTTCCACCATGCCCAGTTTGCAGAGAACCTTTCTCAACAAGTGGGTATTAAAACTGTAGGGAGCAGAGGGGGAAGCACCTATTGGGCTTGTGGGGAACAATCAGGAAGAAATCCATGTTTATACTTTCAGTGTTATGTTCATTAGTAAACCAAAACAAAAACACACTCAGGTTACATACTGAGGCTGTCAGCTGATTTCTCTAAAGGCTATGAGGTATAAGAACAGTTAAAGATTATTTGCTTTTTAAATTATAGGTTGGGCTGGGAGGTGAGGGCACAGGCCTTTAATCCCAGCACTCAGGTGATAGAGACAGGCAGATCTCTGTGAGTTTGAGGCCAGGACAGCCAGGACTGTTACACAGAGAAACCCTGTCTCGAAAAACCAAAATAATAATGATGATGATGATATAATAAGTTATCGGTTGAAGAGTAGGCTGTCCCTCACATCCTTTTCACCCCTTGTTTTCCATTATCTCCTTGGAAATCTTTCACCTTCTTTGCTAGAGAGTCCTGAAATCAGATAGAACATGTCTCAACAGTAACAGATTCCTTGCATGACCAAACTATTCAGTTTCCTGAGTCTTCCATGCATCTTACAAATTTCATCTTTAGCAAAGAACCTTGAGGAGCCAGTTTAATTAGAACTCCCTCCCTAGGTATGTCTTCTCCTTCACCACAGTGTCCCAGAGCCCAGGCTTAACTGCACGAGGAATCATCATATTAAAATGTCTTACCAAGAATCCTGCTCGATGGGGATGCTTCCTCTTACTACGCTTCTGTCCATGGCCCTGCCCCTGCCCTTCACCTATAAATTCTTGTTTGCCATACCCCTTTCAGGGTTAAACCCAATTTGTCTCCCCAGGGTCAACCCATTGTCACGCATGGCCCTTAAATTGCTACAATGGTCTTGAATACAGTTGTTCTTCACCACACAGCAAGTTCCATTAAATAAGTTTTTCTTTAGCAGCAATTAGATCAATGGGGAAAAAAAGGAACTTGAGATGTTCTAAAACAGAGAAACATCATCTCTTCTAGTAATTTTTGAAAGAAAGATCTGATGCTGGATTTGTACACACTCAACAATCAGCCATTCGGAAAGCCTAGTTGCATTCATTCAGTTCCAGGTGGCTTTTAGTCAGCACAATGCTTTTTCACTGGGCATGCCAGTGGACACCTGTTATCCTGGAACTTGGGAAGCAGAGGTAGGAGGATTACTACAAGGCCAGCGTGGTCTACAGTGAGTTACAGGCCAGCCAGGGTTACAAAGTGAGAGAGACTTTATCTCAAAAAACAAATAAATTACCTAGCAATCACGTGTATCATAACTGCAATAGAAACTATACAAACTGAAGGCGGGGAAACCTTTCATGTTATAGAGAAGCACATGAAAATTTGGCTGAGCATCCAGCATAAATTACTTGCAATTAATGATAAGTGAAACTTTTCAAACTAACAAAGAGTTAGGAAAGCAGTGACTAAAATCTCATCAGGATCCCAGTACATACCGCCTGTGGTTTTTCTCAAGAAAGCCAAAATAAAAAATAAAAATAAAAACAGACAATAAAATGCCCAAGAATGACCAGGTTAAGGGCATTCTGAAAGATTTAAATACCACTTGGTCAATTTTTACCCAAGTTTGACCAGTACTAGTCTAAAATCTAGATTTTTTTCCTATATATGAATACAACAACTCAACTACAACCACAACCATAACAAAACAACAAAAAGCAAAAACAGGAGCAAAGGGTCTCATTAGACATTTCTGCAAAACAGAGACACACTTGGCCAATAAGCATAGGAAAGACTGTTTTTATCCCTGGTCTGAAACACAAATTAAAACCACAAAGAGATATCAAGTCACACCCACTAGGGTGACTAAAAAAAAACAGAAAAAAATGTTGGTGATTTAAGGACATTGCAACCCTCATACACTGTTATGAGAGTATAAAACGTACCAACTTTGATTAAAGCCTTAAAGTTTCTTTACAAAGTTAAGCACTGAGCATATCCATGCCTAAGCATGCGTTCAGGAGCATCAAAAGTGCACATCCTCAAATGTTCTAGCCGCATTAATAATAGACAATGACTAAAAAGTGAAAAACAATGCAATTTCATTAATTAGTGAATGGATGTGGTAGTGACCATATCCAAATAGTCATTCAGCTATAGGAAAGCACAGAACAGACACCCACTAGCTACAACATGAATGAGCTTTAAAAACATTTGGCTAAGTGAAGGATGCCAGACAAAAAGACACACACACACACACACACACACACACACACACACACTAGCGGGGTGTGGCAAAAGCCTGTGATCTCACCCCTTGAGAAGTTGAGGCAAGAGGACCATGAATTCAGATTAGCCTAAACTATACAGCGAGACGGCTTCCCTAAGGGAAGAGCCAAAAGCTTGTCTTTAAACGGAGGAGGTGGAGAACCACAAATACTGTATGATTTCATTGGTGTCCACAGAGGGCAAATGCATAGGAATAGAAAGATTAGTGGTAGTCAGTGGGTTGGCACGGTGAAGGAATGGGTAGCAACTAACAGGTACGGGGTTTCTTGTGGAGATTACAAAAATGATCTGGATAGTGGTGACAGTTGCAAAACCAGATGAATATACGAAAAGCCACATTTTGGAGGGATAAGTAGCATGTACGCCACCTGATGTATCGATCAAACGTCCATTTACAAAAAGAGGACATGGGTATAATATGCCTCAGACTGTAATATTAAGTAACACCTACAAACACGCCAGCTCTCGCCGCAAATGGACACTGAGCCTTCTTAAATTGAGGCATATTGTACACTCATATAGCCAAGAGCGGGGTGCCAAGCAGGCTCCAGGGGTGAGCGCAGCCCGCCTCCCAGCATCTGCATCTGAGCTCACCTTCTGACATCCCT